GGGGGGAAAAAAAACGAAGAAAAAAAGGAAAAAAACTCGGCATATGTCGGACAGCTACTTGGAATATTTGTGAAAGTATTTGCTCTGCTGTGCTCGTGTGTTGGAAAACTAGCGCAAAGTTATCGTAACAGAAACACACGTATATCCGATCTGTTCCTCAAGTCCAGTGTAACACAATGCAACGCGTGCAATATGCATGTGTATATATATATATATACACACACACACACACGATAGAGTCAAAATATGTACATAGTTTGATCGAGTGTCTGAACTAGAACGGTTGGAAAAGAGAGTGACCCAAAAAGGAAGAAGAGAGAAACGAGAGAGAGGCCCTCGATATTATCGGCAGGTTAACGAACCAGGAGCTCTCTGAAATGTTAATGTCTTGTTACGTCACGTTCGTTTACCGTGGTCAGAGAAAGGGGTCAAAGAGACGAAAGGAAAGGAAAGGAAAGAGAGGAGGAGGAGGAAAAAGAGTGCGAGACGACTAAAAATGGCGTGGCACACGGTCTCACCATCGTCTCACGGACACAGATTGCAGAATACTCCCTCTAATCGTGGTGGTGGTGTGCCACGTTTAACACTTGGGCCAGGATTTTAAAGGCTTCGTTTAATTGGCTATAGTTATCCCTGCTAGATTCTTGAAACTCGCACCGAGTCGAAAATGCGAGTCTCTCGATGCGAGATGATGATCTCGCCTCTGTAAGAAACGTGACGCAAAACACATCCGCTTGGATTCGCTGTTTCTTGCACGATTTATATTTGCATTTTTATAAATAGAAGAAAGAAGCGTGTCCGTATCCCACTCGCTTCGTTCAATGGGAGAATTATACACCTTGCCCGATAATCGAGCAAATCAAGTCCCAGTTTGCACTCGATTAATTTATCTTCGATGGTTCATTCCCCCCCCTCCCCCTCCCCCCTCCCCCTTCTCATTGCACTTGGTGTGTTGTTGCACCCGTGAAATTGTGTTGTCTCTCACGGCTCTGCGTAGCGCGAATAGAAACACTCTGATCGTTTCTAAATTGTTCTCGGTTGAAGGACAAACAGCTAGACAATAGGCAAGGATATTGGCAACCGAGAGTTGTATTCGATTCGCGTTTTCGTGCGCGCGGCACATCTTTCGCGTGTTTCGAAGACTCGAGGAATCTTGGTAACGGGACGCCAGCCACACTACCTGTTACGCGGTGCTGCGTTTACGTTACACATTACCACAGGTTATCATCGCTTATTAAATGGCGAGGAATTCGCTAAGGGATCGCGTACGCGTGCGTTCGTCAAACGTGTCGTTTCATCATTCTCGTGAATGAACGTTGTGCGATCCGCAGACATTTTTCGTCTCGTTTCCCTTCTCTCTCTTTCACTTTTCTTTTCTTCGATGTTATTCTTCGACGTTGGAAAGCGCGAAACGATGGTAAAACAGTCGAAGGATCGCGCAAAATCGTCGAGTCATAGCTCGACTACGATGTCAGAGATATCAACCCGTTGTTGCTCGCGCGTGAAATGCAAAACGTGTTCGCGCAGACAATTTCTGTTATGTCGGAATCCGTACGTTATCTGACAGATGAGAGAAACGATATACAGCTGATAATATATGTACGACGATCGGTGATAACGGAACGAACGAAACACAGTGGTAATCGCGTTGTTTGTACAACTTTCGTTAAGTACACATCTACTTTCGTAAGTGCACGGAGCGCTCTCTTGCGCTACACTGAAATCGAACGAACGATTAATTCACTCCTATTGCGTTGAGCAGAAGTAGACAGAGCTTGTTGTTGCTCGATTTCCTTCTTAACACATTATTGACCGAAGCTTTTTTTTTTCTTTTTTTTTTTTATAGAATTTTGTAGAAACTGACTCGTGTATTTTTCCGAAAAAAAGGTGACAAAGAAAGAATCCGCGTACGATTAAATACAAACAACTTTATTATCACGTAATGTATTTATTTGAAATACTTTGTGCATGTGTTATCAAAGTATTTTCATATTTTTTTTAAGAGAACGATAGGCCATATAGCAAGAAGCTATATTAATAATTAATATAGTTGATATTGTTAGATTTATATTATTAATCCGAGAAACTTTCTCATATCACTGTTAGTAACGTCAATTTTAAAGTCTTGTCATAATTTTTATATGACTTTTCAGTCTGTTGATGGTACAGGTTCGTTTGCGTAGTAAGCAAGTCGAGAAAATCGTTTACGAAAATTAATTTTGCTACTTCACTAACAGTTTCGTGGATTATTACATTCAATGGTTAGACCAGGCACTTTTGTAAACTTTTCCAATTTTCTCCGGCATCGTGAATGTTGTCTTCATTTTCCAGTGTCACTATCAATCACAAAGTGTTTTCTGTCTTTTGGTCTTACATTGATATCGCCCGATTCGGAACTGTATTCTGAAAAATTATCATCTTCTGAATCACTGGAATAGATAAATTATCATCGCAGAACGCGGGAAATTCTCATTCGCGATGTGCGATTTTTAAGAATTTAACGATCGATGAAATTGCGCGAAGCGAGTAACGTGAGTGAAAAAAAAAAATTTAAGGCAACTTGAACTCACCTAAATGTAACACACACTTTTCCCACAAACTTTCAGAATTTCACAATTCAAATTCAAATTCAAATATCGCCCAGCCACAATCAAATTGTATAATAACCAGTCGATAATGTGCACGACTCATGCGAGTCGTTGTCGGCATTTCACTCGTCCCAGAGACACATCGACGGAGAGGAAATTTATGGGAGGATCTGCCACGAATGACGATGACGACGACCTTAGGCTCAACGAGGGTCCCTGTCGTTGTTCCTCGTGCCGGGCAATGTTAACGAGCAGCGATCAGCGAAACTCGTTTCTCCTT